CTAGAAAATCGGATGTACAAAAAATGGCTTAAAGATAAAAATATTCCCTACAATAATTTAGAAACATTGGCCGAACTCAAAATGAAGGTGAAAAATATGATGCCACGTGAAAAATCGTATCTCCTTGATGAGTTGGCATTAGAAAGAGGTCATGAGGTGATACGACTTCCTCCCTATCACTACCAGTATAACGCTATTGAGTTGATTTGGGCTCAAGTTAAAAATGAAGTTGCCAAAAAAAATAACACTTTCAAGATGGTAGACATTGAACGTTTGACTCATGAAGCGTTAGATTCAGTGACTATACAAGATTGGGAGAAATGTGTACGACATGCAAAAAGTATTCAATCCCAAGACTATGAAAGAGAAGTTCACAGGGATTCCATATTAGAACCCATTATATTAATCATATTACCAGGTGATAGTGATTCGAGTGATGATGACACAGATAATGATGATGATTAAGCTATTTATATATATATATATATATATATATATATATATTATATAAGACATATTTGGTAACTAATTTCGACGGTAAATTAAAATTGTATATATAATGTTTATAGTATTTTATTAAAATAATAATTTGTAAATAAATAGCATAAGCATATAAATGATAAGATGTTTTTAAATTAAATTTTTTATATTAATGGTACGATTTTGTTGTTTTGGTTTTTATTATTATAAATAATATGAAAATATTTTTTAAAAAGCGCGGCAATTGGCTTTGGTCGTTTAAGAACCCATTAGACGATTTAACCGCTTGGATCGCGTCGGTCACACGCCACTTTTCGTGTCCCCGACTATAATCAGTTTTCTTCTGCTCCGTTGTCTTTGCACATTATACTTCTCTTTAGTACGTTCTATATTAGAATACGATGTGGTGGTGTGGCATCCCTACCTAGCTAAAGACGAACTAAGACTCGAGCGTGTACAAAATAGATTTCTTTCCTACATTGCCTACTTAATGAAGATACCTCATCCTACGCATGACTATTCCTTAATTCGTAGTTCATTGGGAATACCAATGCTGTCAACTCGTCGACAAGATGCTGATGAGCACTTTATAACCTCGCTCCTAGGTGGCACCTTAGATGCACCCGATCTCATCTCTAAAATATATTTTCATATCCCTTCCTTCTTCTCCAGAAATCACGCACTCTTCCAAGTTCCAA